CTTACCCCGTAAAACATCTTAAAACTCCCCCCGCAACCTGGGGAAGTTCTCATCTTTTACAGACTTTTTTAGCCCATGTGACCCAAAAAGTTGAGAAAAGTGGTGTTTTTAAGAGGTAAGCTAGCTTATCAAATGGCCGTGGCAACCAAAAAACCGGAAGTCCCAAATGGGTTGCCCGATCGGTAAGTGGAAACATGGCCCCTCCTTGATTCTTATCAAATCATGGAGTTGGAATCAACCCCTAAGTTCCAGGGTGCTCCAAGGATTAAACTCAAAGCATTCGGTCCATTCTTTTCAACCATTGTTCTTCCCAAAAACCGGATCCGGTTTTTCTCGGTGTCCGGAGGTTTTCTTGAAAGATTCGGATCCCTGGGTTCAGAATGGAAATGGAAGGTACCCCTAGCATAGCATCGATCCACGCGGCCGCACGTTTTGGGGCCAGGGTGTGGCGAGCTTTGTTTTTTGGCTGCGGCTCAAAAACATGAATTCCAAAATGGCACCTTGGCAAAATGAACCAAAGACCAAAACCAGCGGAATTAACCCTAGCGCTTTAATTTTGAGCCATACCCATTTTTCCCCCAAAAAAGCAAGCGGAAAGCCCAGGAAAGCCGCCAGGAAACGGGGCGAAAACCTCTTTGGCATATTTTTTGCGGGCAAAAAAATAACCCCAAAAGAAGGTATGCCAAAAAAAGCCGCCATTAAGTTCTGTGGCCCGGTCGCATCTACTTGAAAGAAACACGGAAAATCCCGAGTGGAAATCCAAGATAGGGGAGAAACTCGAACTTGTTGATGCTCTGCTTTCTGACATCCCTTGGAAAAAAAAAACATGAACCAAGCAAGAACAACTGAAAGGTCCGTCTCGGTCACCTGCGCAGCGTTCAGTCCCCGGCACTCTCTGTTTGAATGGCTTTTACGGTCATCACTTGACAAAAGGTCAAGGATATCCAAACATTCTCCCAGCATGCAAACAACGGGAACGGCCACCCGTGGAAAGGGGTTCTATACTACTGCAGGCACCTCACTTGCCCAAAGGACCCAACAAATCGTAAACAGGTTGACCTTTTGGGACCTCTACTCATCATGGACCAAAAAGGGAGAATTCTCCCAAAGGCCGAAAGCTCGGCTTTGAGCTGTTTTTCTCCATGGAAAAGGCAAATGGAACCGTGGCCCCCATGGGTCATGAGTCCTAAACAAGGGGATGAAACTGAAGGGATCCGGTTCCAACCCTAAGGGGATGAGTCGCCTCGCTGGCAAATTCGCTGGCTTTGGATCAAGGTGGCTGCTGTTGAGCTGACCTTTGGGATGTTGAGCTGTTGGGCTGCTGTTGAAACTACAGGCCCTATTGGTTTGGGGTTTGCAAAGGACCCATCTTAGTGTTTTTAAGGAAAACCCCCACGAGCCGGAAAACGCAACAGGCTTCTGGTGCTCTTCCAACCCGCATCCTGTCAGCCTCTATTGGGAGGGAGCGTACCACAGGGACTATCGAAAGTCATTGGCAGAAAATGGTGTGGGTCAAACATGGAGTAAGTCCTGGTAATGGAAGCCTTGTGGTTGATGTTTTTGACCCATACGTGCAAACACCGGTTTTTGAAGCATCCTGCCGGTTCCCCGTTTTGGGATGGGGGAAGCGCTTCCCCCAATTCAGCGGCGCGCGCGACTCGACTCGCGTGGAATCGATCGAGTGGCGGGAGACCAGCAGGCCACAGCGGTGCCGGCAGGACACTTCTCGCTCGAGAAGGTGGCCTAACGGGCGGGCGAAAGCTTTCTGAAGCTCGCCGTGCCCAAATGCAGCGGAGTTTATGAATGAACTTAAATTTAAGGATGTTGATTATAAATACGGAATGCCGCATGGGAAACGAACCAGGTGATGGACTAACATTGAAAGTTGGACACTTTAAGATGAATATGTAAAAGGGACTGTGGCAATCTCACGAGCCTCCAATAGCTTTGTCACCCCCCGAAAAAGATGAGAACATATGTCCTGAAATCGATTCCCTTTAGACCCAGAAGAACATAACACATGCTCTTTAGCAAATGGACGTGTGTGTGTGTGTCTTTCCCGTTTTGCAGGTACCATTTGTTTGGTGGTCTTACTGGAAAACACGATCTTGAGAGTCCTCTTTAAAAACAAAAACACACATGGGGGCTCACATCCGATGTGGACTCAACAATAACGGTGCAGGAACTTTTGATTTACCACTCAAATCAGCCAAACCCCAAAACTCTCCAGAGTCCAGAGTACAGAACTCAGGGGGAGTGAGACATGGTGGCGTGGGGGGGGGGGGGTTTGGGCAGGGTTGAGTTGGGGCGTTGGCCCATTTCGCCCGGGGAATTACTTCACAACCCTTGGTAGGTTCTTTGCGGCCCCCAAACCTAAAAATGAACATAACCAAAAAGACAAAAACAAACAAAAAACAAAAAACAAAAAAACAACTTGATCCAAGAACAGTGAAGTTTCGGTTGCCTGTTGAATCTGCGCTGCCCTCAGATCCCTTGCCCAAAAGTTTAACTTTTAGTGGGTTAGATGGAAACTACCACTAAGCGCTGAAAAGCTAACTGGCTAAGGAACCGGATAGCTGGGAGCCACCAAGTATTGAATCACCTCTTCTTTCCCGGTCGCCCGAAGCTTCGCTCCTTGTTGGAGCACAGGTCCAGGTCCAACGCTAAGCCCACAGTCTCCTGACTTTGTTCTCAAGCTTGGGTGTGGCTCGGTCGATTTGTTGGAGGGAACCCTTTTTCGGGTTGCTTGAAAGGGAAACCAACAGGAAAACCGCACCCTGTTCCTTCTGTTTATTTTCTATTTTTTTGGGGGGAACCCCCAAACTTTGAGGGGTAACAAAGGCGAAATAATCCTCTGCTAATAGAAGGTAAAATTCTTGGGAAATTCCAGGAACTTGCTGTTTTCTCGAAGATTGTGTGCCAGAACGACCCCCAACTGACATTGGTTGGATTGGCGGCGAGTCATTCCAGCATTCCCGCTTGGACGTTCCCCAAAAATAGTAAGCAGGTTATTGTATTGCTCACTTCCCAAGTTGACTGGCCAAACAAAGTTTGAACTTTTTATTTACCACTAAAATGGTCTTTCCGAAAAGTTAAAAGTCCACCAACTCAGGAAGTGAGATTGGGGTAACCGAGCAGCTTGTCCCCCCAAATCGGTGGATATAAGATATTGCAAGCTACCAAGCCGATTGAACGCCCAAGCTCACTTCGAAAGGATAAAGAAAAAACCGACTGACTTTGAACAGCCAAAGTTCAACACCAACCTCGCAGATTTTCCAGGCCTCCCACGTCAAGCCGAAGCCACCCGGTAAGACATACCCTTCCACAAGCATGGCATCTGAGGAAGATCAGTCTCCTCTGAAAGGGACGCCCTGCTTGGTGCCTTGTTTGTGGAAGGGAGGGGAAGTAAATAATGACACGTAGGAAAGTCCCCTGCAAGTTAGACACCCCATGCAAACTCAAATGCGAATCATCCAACAGCCCAACAACGGCCATGTTATGTCATGCTGACCTCAGTTCAGTGGGGAGTCCCTTTTTCCAGGACCCCCCGAAAGAAAGACCAGGGGTGAAAACTCTCAGGGGATCAACCATGCATGAAGAAAACACCACCCCATCTTCGAACCCAAGTGCTGCCGGGGCTTAAAAAATCAACTAAGAGGACAAACCACACCTGGAGGATCCATCTTCAAACCCGCGCCCGTCCTTTTCGGGCACAAAAGGCTGCCACTCTCCGTGGCTCCACGTCACCTCCGGCAGTCCCGCAGAAGCCGCGGGAAGCGCCGCGAGGGCGGCGAAGAGCGCGCCACAAGGCGCCATGGCCGGCGGTGGGCTCGGCCGTCTGTGCAATCCGTGCAAAGCAATTCGATTCTTGGGCCAAAAGAAACGGTCGGAGCTGCCATGGCTCACTTTTCGGGTGGATGGCAACCAAAATCGTAGCCACACTTTCTACACTGACATGGTGCAAACCCAAAAAGTATCAAGTCCAACTCAGGAAGTGACATATTCATGCGGCGTGCAAGAAGATACAACATAGTAACCGGACAACATGTGGGCCTCTTCCTCCATGATTTGCCTCCAGGCAAATGAAAATGGAAGGGCCAAAAGAAAGGCCCTTCCAAAGATGCTGTGCAAAATCCGCTCAGGCGCCAACAATGGTTTCTCATGGTTTCCAAGTGGTACGGATTTCCTCCATCCGCAGTCATACCCCCACAAGAACCATGGCTGCGGTGTTCAAGAAGCGGCAGCATAATAACTGCAAACTGCGTGGACAAAATATGGGGCTGGCAGCTATAGCTCATACTCCCTCCAAACTGCGTGGACAATAGGGGGCTCGTCGGCTCCATCATTCACCTCCAAATGGAAATGGAAGGAACCAATCCTCAATGTTGACGCGGATTTATGCGTGCGTGCTGCACAAATCGATTCGAGGCGGAACGAGATCTAGCTCACTTGCGTAGAAATGAAAGGCCCGCAATTTGGGAGCCTAGGAATGAAGCGCGGCGAATCGAGCGCCGGCAAATCGAGCGCCCAAACTCTTCCCACTTCTTGCTCTAGCAAGCGGGCCCAAATGGACATACTGTGGATGGACGAAATCCATTTCGCACCACCTAGAGAAACCCTGGAATGATGCTTCACCTGTAAATACCAACCAACAATGGTTTCCCACGGTTTCTTAGGTGGTGCGAAATGGATTTGGTCCATCCATTGTTATACACAAAATGTTGGGAGAACGCGCCTTCCAGGGGCTCTTTTGGTACAGATCTGTCCTTTTGAACTCAAAATGCTGTGGATGGACGCAGCACTTGGAAACCATGGTTGAATCCACCGGTTTCGTTGGAATATTTACAGGAGAATCGAATCATGAACTCAGGTTTCTGAACGGTGGTGCGAAATAGATTTCGCCACCATCCACAGTATGTCCGTGGATTCCAAAAGGCTTGGGGGGCAGGCCCCACTCCTCAAGCCCTCAAGCCCTCCCCTTTCGCTGAACCGCACCCTGCCTCGCGCGTGAACTCGCTCCTCCAACTCCTCGGCCGCTTGCCACTTGCCGAGCTTTTGGTTCACGGATCGGATCGGCCCAGAAACCAAAGGCTGGCGCCGTTTGTGACCACGACGAAAAAATGGGAACCCCAAATGGGGTAACCCCAATGGTCAAAAGGTCGATTCGCTTTGGACAAGTTTTTGGGGTTTGTTTATTTAGGTGACCAACTTCAAATGGGTTCTAACAAAACGTTTTCTTTTTGGATGCCACGCATGCTTTTGTCCAAAGCGGTCGGACCCTTTTTAGTTTGTGGGCTCACCTTCATGTCTGGCGATTTGATGAGATTTTGCCTTATCCAAGAACAATCGGAGCCCAACATCTTGCCTGAGATGCCCCGTAAGAAACATATGTGGCTGTTCAAAGAGTGTAGCTCCGTTGGAGCAATGCTTGCTTAGAAAATGTAAGTTGTAAAGGGGCCCTCCCCCGAGCTGTGATTCTGTCCACCTCTCTGGGCCCAATTTGTTTGTCAAGCCGACTTGTAACTGTATTCAGCAGTTCCAATACCCCCCCCTCAAGAGCAACGCCCCTTCGAGCTCCATAACCGAAACCCCCCAAGCATAGAACAGCCACAGGCTTGGCCCTGCCCGGGCAGTGAAGAGCAGGGGGAGCAGCAAATGGTGAAGGTTCCGTTCGTTGGGTTCCCTTGTCTTACCCCCGGGGGTCCTGGACTTCAAACTTTTGGCGAAGACCGTTTTAGTGGCCAAGAACAAGTTCGGCTGCGTTTTTTGGACCAATCCGCTGAAGAAGTAGGAAACTAGCTGGTAGCTACACATGTTACCTATGTTGAACATAGTTTGCAGGCATTCTTACCTCAGCTTTTTGCCCTCAGAATGTCATGTTGGCACTGGCCATGGGTCAAAATCCCGTGCCCCCAGTGAACATCCCAATCCCCACTAAAACAAACTAATGGGTGGTGCACCTACCCAAAATGGTACCATTGGTTTTGACCCACAGCCATCATGTTCACTACTGACTATTGGACCTAAGCCTGTAGACTCATGTCCACATATTTCCTCGAGGGTGCAAACTCAGGAGTGTGCATTGGGCACTCGCGTGTCTACCCAGAAAACTGTTTAGACGCCCCAATGGGCGAGGAAACCAAAGCCTCTGGGAAAGGTTCATAGACCATGTTTAGAAGGGATTCGGCTCTGAGAACCTTTCTGGGGTTCTAAGGCGTGCAAAGCGACTCTCTCGATCGACAGAATGGATCCATGAAAAAGGTGCATTTTCTTGACTTGGTGCCCGTTTTGGGCTTGTTTGAAAGGGAAAAAACTGGGGGAACAAGTGGCCATGATTCATGGGAAAAAGGGCACCATTTTGTCGGGCAGTTGGTAGTATTAAAAAGAACCCCCCCTTGTCAAAGAAAAGGCTTGACAAAGGGCATCTCTGGAGATGAAGGAAGGTGTCTTTCCAACCCTTGGTACGGTAAAACCAAAACAGACAACACAAACATGCAGGCCCCTACGAAACATGAGCAGAACCAACAAAGCTAAACAAGACTAAACGACGACAGTCCAGGTTTAGCGCTGCTTGATCTTTGCGCACGCTGCCAAGGCTCTGATGCCATGGTCTGCTGCATCTCTTGCCAAGCCGTCTGCAACCTCCGCGCTGTCTGCAGTTCCAAGCTCGGAAGAGGCACTTCGATCTGCAAATGTTTTTCCACATGCAAACTGCAGCTGGCATCTTGAACATCGTCCATTTCCCCGGTATTCTTCAATTCCCTAAGCATCTTGGGCCCTCAAAACGGCCCTCGGTGAGGTCGAAACCCTTAGGGAGGTCCGGTTCGACCAATGGGTCCATGGTCATAGGGGTCCACACTTCTTAAACAATAAGACATGGTTTGCATTGGTGCTTTGGATTTGAACCCCTGGCTTTTGTACCGAGTATTTGGGAAACCACCCAGGAACCGCGCCCCAAACCACAAATCAGAGGGACGCTGATATGGAAATGCAAGTCAAGGACCTAGATGGTTCGCGAGAGCTCGCCATAGTGACCTAACCCCTACAAGTCTTGGCAATTCTAGGGATGGACGGAATATTACACCACCTAAGAAACCCTGGAATGATTTGATTTCCCTTTAAATACCAACAACGCATGGTTTCAACCATGGATTCAAATTGGTCCAGGATTTCGTCCACCACTATAGGAATCATAGGGTCTTTTCTCACTCCCCCAGCCCCAAATCGGCTGAAATGGAGCAGGTTTTCAAGCTCAGCTGCGGGGTTGGACTGTTAGATACTCACTTCCGATCGAGTGAATGGGAACCAATAAAAAGCAACCTTGGACCAAACCCAACTCTTTACCCCGATCTTCCCAAAAAGTGTTGACCTTTTCTCCTTGCGCAATTGTTCAAAGTTGTGCTGTTTTGAGTTCGTGCCAACAAAAGGCATTTCTGGGAGGCTACCTGGAAGATCATAATTTCCTCTTGGCAGCTCCAGCGTCAGGAGGCCGGTGCCGAAGGCCCAGACGGCCCAGACGGCCAGCTGAGGCCCGGGCTGCTCTGCATCCCGTTGCACCGCCGCGACGAAGGCTTCGAGGTCTGGGCCCCACTCCTGGGCGCGCGCCCAGGGTGAAGATGCCTTGACCTGGAGAGCTTTGTCCGTCTTCTGTTGTCTCCTGGGAAAAATGTGTGTATATACATATATATATACATATATATTATATATACATATAATATATATATATATATATTTGTGTTCAACAGCGACATGTTCCCTTTGATGCTAACAGGGGGGATTTAACGTGTTTCCGGGGGGGGGGAAGTGGACAGGTTCCACCTGTTATCCAGTAGAGAGGTTATAATAAGTTGGTACCAACTTGTTTCTGTCTATTTTAGCAGGGGAACCCTCCCACCCAAAAAAGGGGTTTACAGGGGCACCCAACCGGGGGACCTAGAATGGTTCTTGGAGACTCCAACAAGCAAGTGTTTTCTCAGATCCCCCGCTGAAAGTTTAACTCTTTGTGGGTCTATTTTAGTAGGAACCCCAACAAGGTGTTAAAAAGGCCACCTAGCTGGGGGGCCTAGTTACAGGCCCACTCTCGCCAAGCTGCCGGAGCCTCCGCCTCTGACGCCTCTGACCTGAGTGAGGGGCTCCGATTCTCCGATCCTTCGGGGGCCTGAGTTGATGGTGCGAAAAAAAGTAGCCAAACTGTTTGAGTGCCGCTCTTTTATATCCCCAAACAATGACCCGGGCGTGTGCTTGGAGCTTGTTGCGTTTTGCGTTTGCAGCCCCAAAGGGGGCAAATGGGACACGCGCAGTGAACCCATCCTACTAGGGCTAGAAAAGTGATTCGGATTCCCAACAGCTCCCCAAAATGGTTGGCTTCCCAACGTGTTTCCCATGAACTCTGAACAACTTCCCTCAAATTGGTGGCTTGGTGCTTTTCTCATCTGGCCACAAGAACCAGGGGTTCAAATCCAGATCCAACCCACCGCTCCAAACTACACTTAGGGATGCCTCAAATTGGGACAAATTATCACCTCAATTGGGGATACCTCCATCCCAAACCACCAATCCGCACAACACCAACTAGGCTTGGTTGCTGATATCCCCTCTGCAGAGAGCTAAACTGTTTGTAGGCCCAATGAAAATCCATTGTTTCAACCAACAAGCTGAAGTCTACAGATCCGTTACCCAACAGCCAACAACAGTGAGAATTTCCTGCGATCCCAACATATCCAAAACTGTCAATAGAAACCGGGGGATTGCCCTGTTACCCTGTAGCCATAAACAGCAAGGGTTTCCTGAGATCCCAACATATCCCAAACCAACCGGAGAGGTTTTTAGGCGGTTCGAACGCCATTCCAAAGCCTCAATTGCTGGGGCCCGGGGCCTAGCTGCAAGTACCTGGCCAGGAGTCGCTAAAGAAACTCGACGTTTGTGGGGCGAACAGCTCTAGACCAGTGCCTTCAGCTTCCAAGAATCAACGCGAAAGGGTGCCCTCAAAAAAAAAACACGGCACATCCAACAGGGCTCCCTATATTTCCCCTTGAAACATCACACCAAGGGACACTCACCTTTCACGGTCCAAAAGTGATGTTTAAAATCGCCAAAATGGAGCCCTATCCAAGATTCTCCCATCACTGGAACCTGACGTTCGGGACCCCTCCGAAACGTCAGACTCCATGTGAAAAAGGGTGGGAGGGTAACTCACCCAGCATTGCAACCCAGCAGCTGCAGCATAACCCAGCCAAACATTCCCACGGAGGAACAACCAAAGGGGGTCATGATACTTCCCTCGCTTTTGGCAGGCCATCTCTAACTCAGTTTCTTTTGGGCGGGGTGACATTTCAATCGTCAAGACATGTCAAGACTGATACTTGCCGTCGGGATCAAATAACTAGGGGGGTTAGACAATGAGGGTTCCCGCGGATCAGAGAATCCTCAGTGGGTTTGGACGTTGGGACCTGAGATGATCTGGGGATTCGGACTGGCCAAATAAACCTCCGGAAGGACTCCAAAATCACCGGGCTCCAAATCCCCGATCGGCAAGGTGACAGGAACCGCCAGCCAGCCAACCAACCAACCCAGACCTGCAGAGTAATGGCCCCACGTCTAGGCAAGGAAGACACACACACAATGTCCCTTCCGGAGGGGAAGGGAACAAAAACTGTCACCGAACTTGTTGTTTGCCACTAAAATGGGTCTTCCCAAAAGTATATAAGTGAAGCAAACCAAGTTACCCAAGTGGCTGGGAGAAGGGAACTGGGACCGTTCAAATGAATGGTCCAGCCCCCAAAAAGTATCCAGTCTGAAACGGAACTGGGGAGGTGAGTATAGGGCTCAAATCATCACCTGAACCCGAAAATTCAAATGCGGCTCATTGTCCAGCGGCTCAAAAACGGCAAGTTCTGTCATCGCACTTGGCAGGTGGCATTGTACTTAGCAAATGGTCAGTAAGCCTGGTATAAGTCTCCCAAGAGGGATAGGCCAGGCTTACAAACCACTTGCTAAGTACGCGGCTTTAAGTAGGCCTCGAAACATTAACGGAAACCCAAAAGAGGCTCCTCCAACGGCCCAAAAGCGGCCATGTTACGTCATGCCGACCCCTGATTCAGATAAACCCCCACCTAGTAAATGGATTAACTGGGAGTGGGGAGTCCTTGCTTGCAAGCAGAGGCAGGACCGCCCAAAAAAAACTCCAGGGATGAACAACTCAATGAAGAAAACACGCACACCATGGGGAGATCGATCTTCAACCTCTGACAGTGCGCCCGGGGTGCAAAACAGACATGAAGAAAACACCGCCCCATTAACAGGGTCCCAATTTAGTGCCCACCCCAAATAACTGCCAGGGGTCAACCATGAAGAAATCACCGCCTTCCCCGGAATTCCGCCCATCCTTTCTTCCAGGACCCCCGAAAGCCCAAAAAAAAAACGACTCGCCCTGGAGGGGGTCATGATTCTTTGGGCGGGGCGTAAAAAAAGAAACTCCCCGCCTCCACGTGGCGTCGGTCGAAGTAGTGCACCGACTGCCGTGCCCGCCGCTGCCTGGGACTGCGACTCCTCGGCCTGAGTGATGGGGGAGGGGGTGGATCTGGGGTGCCCAAGTTCCGTTTTTCGAGTCTGCCCCACACATGAAATCTTGAGGTACCAGAAATGGATTCTCTTTTGACATACGTGGAATCTCCGGATTTTCCATAAATGGGTTGCAACAAATGGAGATCTCCAGGGGTCGCCAGAAAGGGAATACCTGTTTCCACAAATGGAATCTCCAAATTTGCCATAAATGGGTTGCCAAAAATGAAGATCTTCAGGGGTCGAAACCCCCCCTCCCCCAATTCCATTAAGGGTGTGAACCTGCCAGGTCTCCTTTAGGGGACCCTGTCTCATTTGTCAGTTGCAGTCTCACAACGTTGATTTCTTCTTCGGCCATTCGTGCCGATTTCCTCCAATCCTCTTTGGACTCTTTGGGACCACCCTGAGGGTCTCGATGCTTTTTGTTTCCCTTCAAACTGTTACCCTTAAAATATAATTCCCCTTCCAACCGACATTGTTTTTCCAACTTCCCCCCCAAAAAAAAACAAAAAGAGCAACCAAACACACACCAAAAAGGGCGCCAGGTCGCAAAAACACGGCGCACCCTCTAGCCCAAGAGGTTTTTCTCCGGGGTTCTTTTCCCTTGGGCCCATGAGGAATCGGTCGCTTTGGGTTCTCCGTGTTTTGGGTCCGGGGCTTTGCCCTGGGGGCGGTAGGCCCTTGCTTACAGTTGCTTTTTTGCCCCCTGGACAAACATATGTCCAGTAGTGAAATCGATCCCCTTTAACACCAACAGGGGCAAATATGACATATTGGTTTCAGCAACAGGGATCCTTACATGAAAAACACCTGACCATTGCAACTTGTAAATGGAGGTTTCCCTTGAAACTGGTTTTCAAAACCAAGGGAAAACCAACAAGGCAAAAAGCCAACAAGGGAAAACATAGATCCCCTTTAAAACAAGCAAGTGGAAGCCAAGGGCCTCGTCTGAACTTTCCAGAGACCCGGGCGGCGCAGGCTCCGTGCTCTCCTCGGCCGCGACGAGCTGGGTGTCGGGCCTCGGGCATGTGAGCTGGGAGGAGCAAATTGAGCAGCACGTACCGAGGGGTGTAGTCCCAGGGCGTAGGAACATCCCTAAGTATTGAAAACGCTCACTTCCCAAGTTGACTGGCCAAAAAAAGTCTGAACTTTGTATTTACCACTAAAATGGTCTTCCCAAAAAGTTTAAATTCATGAACTCAGGAAGTCAGTTGGGAATGGTCCAAGGCTCTGGGGGTTGATCTTCCTTTTCCATTAGTTTCAAGCTTCAAAAACCGGATCCGTTTTCCAACCGGGTTTCCGGAGGTTGTTTAAAAAGAAGGATCCCTGCCAAGCATGGGGAAGGTGCCTCTAGAAATATTTGATACATACGCAGATGGCAGACAGGCAAACAGAAAGCCAAACACACAGACAACTTGCCGGTGCTCAGTAGGGAATGTGGGAATGAACCGGGGACCCTGAAAGGAAACCATCAGTGGGATGGTTTACAAGGGTCATTCCATCATTCCCTACTGAGCACCAGCAAGCAAACAAACAGACAGGAAAACAGAAAAACGGACACACACACACACACAGTCAATCAAACAGACAGAGTCAAGGTTTCTCAGCCCGTTGTCGCCTTCGGTTTCCCTTCCCTCAGAAAGCAACAGTTCGTGCCAAGTTCTACATATTCCTGAGTGGCGAGTGGAGGGGACAAAACAATAGTCAAGCTCTTCGTTGCCACTAAAATGGTCCAGCCCAAAAACATATCAAGTCGAGTTTCGGAACTCAGGAAGTGAGGATTCGCAAGCAAGTGGACGCCCAATGAAACCCCTGTCTGACAGAACCCTCCGGGAACTCCAGTTGCTTAGGGGCCGGGGATTGGTATCGGAGTCCGGAGTTCGAACGACTGATTGTGTCTAAATGGGAAACATGTTCCCAGCCGCCCAACTAAAGGAAAAAAGACACAAAACCCGCCGTTGTTCAAGTTGAGCACCAGGTCACTCCGTTTTCGGCTCCCACGTGATACTCTCCACATCCCACTGCTGAAAAACAGGTTGGGCCCCTCCATTTGTAGGTACAAGGGGGGTGGCCAGTTGAGAGCCCTGCGGTTGTTAAGGGTTCCCAAAATTCTGTAGAAAACGTCCCTGAGCGTTCGTTGTGGAGCCTCGAGAACCCCCCCAAATCAGACTTAGAAGTGGCCCCAATTTGTTTGGGCTTGCTGTCAATGTCTGACTTCCAAAAAGTGACTAAAGTCCGAAACGGTTCTCAGGGAGTGAGAAGCTGAACCCAACATAGAACCTGACTGCTAGGAACTCAGGAAGTCAGATGTTCACTTTCCAAGCCTTGGTGTGGTAGTAAGAGACTTGCTTCTTTTTGGCAGCTGCTAAAAAAGAACGGAACTAACAAACAGCTAAAAGCCGAGAAGCATGATCCAAGAACAAGTAGAAAGGGGACTCTCAGAATTCCCTGAATTCCCCTAAAAACCAAAACAAACCCTGCAAAAACATGATGCACATATTTCCGCTCGTGATGCATTCCCTCGAAACCAACAAACAAATAACAACAACACTGCCGTAACCAACTAGAAACAACATGCTCCAACCACATGAAAGCTCAGGAAAGTCTGTCTAGGCCAATGGCTTTCCGGGCGGTTTTGGAACACCAAATCCCGATTCCAGGCAATCCAAGTGGCTGTGGCACGACCTCAATGCGCTTTGAGAGCCCAGGCTTAGGGGGACTTTTCTTTCTTCTTTTTTTTCGCTGGGACACCATGCCCCAAATGGGTTGGCGTGTGGGGCTTTCCCTTGAGCGATGATGCCCTCGAAAAATCCCTTCCCCCAACTAAAAATACAGTTACCTCTATTAATAAATATATTGGTCAGGTTAAAACCCAAATAATCTCTAACCTTTTTATTTCTATTTCACCCAATGCTAAACCATTGCCTCACTTCCTGAGTAGATTGGCCAGAACAAGTCAAAATTTATTGCGTACAACTAAAGTGGTCTTCCCAAACAGCTTGAAGCAAAGGAAAGTCACTCAACTCCTGATAGTCCCAATTAGTGGCATGTTAAGCACTTCAGTGCTTTCCTTCTTTTACTTGTAAATTCAAATTGTGGTTTGCACTCTAAACTTGCATTGACAAACCCAAACAGGTGCTTCGCACAATTCCATGCAGCTTCCTTACTCAGCCGATTGCGATTTGGATGTTTTTCCCCCTGGGAAGGGGGGGGGGGGTTTCTATATTTTAGGTAGTGGCCATTTTCTGGGACCCCAAGAATAAATATTGATCCCCGAAACATGTTATATATTGCTTCAATGTGCTTTTTCGTCCCCTGAAAAAATGACCAAATACTTCCAGTAGTGATAGATTCCCTCTAAAAACCAACAGGGAAAATACAACTGATTCTTAAGCAAATGGATGATTAATATAGGGAGGCGCAAACGGGATTTATCGTTAGCGACACCTGAAGAAGAGTGCAGAATGCTCGAAGTGAAGCCCGTTTCACACATTCACCCCTGTCTAACCCCCCTTTTTGCCAATTGCCCTCTGACCAACTAACTTGAAAGTGCACAAAGCCCCTTTCCAACAAAAAAAAGAGAAGCAGTCTTCCGCAAAAAGAAAAACTGCAGGGGTCTTTGCGCACTTTCTGCAGAGTCGTCTGGGAGGGCACCCCTCATCAGCTTGCTGCGAGTCTGACCCTGTGGATGGTTGCGAAATCCGTTTTAGGGCACCACCTAAAGGAACCCTGGAATGATTCACCTGTAATACCATGGTTTCAACCACGGTTTCTTAGGTGGTGCAGGATTTTGTCCATCCACAGTATCAACCATCCAACTGGTGGTTTCCTTACATCTCTACTCTTGGTATGGGCTTGCGAAAAACTGACTGTTTTTTGCAGACCCCCAGTAAAAATGAACAGATGCAAAAAACTGAAAAACCAAAAAACATGATCCAAGAACAGTGAAGAACTGGTGGTTTCCTTAGGAACCCCCAATTCCCTGAGCCCCGTTGACCAATGTTTGACCCCTTTCCGGGTCCAACAGGGCCAAAACCCAAACTTCGCTTGGCCAAGGCGCAGCAGCGGCCTTCGCAAATCCTGCCATGCGCCTGCACAGCAAAAACCCAGATGTGCTTCTTTTGCCAGCTTTCACCTGAGTTCTCAGGTGTTCTTGGTTCTATGATTGGTAGGTTCTAGCCAACTTAAGGGTTGATTCCGCATGCTCAGCCATCCTTCTTTGTACTTCCACCTTATTTCCCCAGGTAAAAATGGATCGTTTTGTGGAGAGAAGGACCCGGGAACACTGAAAGAATAGGGAAGGTACGACTCGAGCCTTGAGCATGTCCAAAATGCCTGGTTGCAGCAAAAATGAAGCCTGAATCATGCACTGAACTTACCTTCAAGCAGTTCGAATTCTAGAAGGGTTTGGATCCTGATGAACAATTCAAGGTACTTGCATTTGCAGTTATGAGTGGAGATTTAGTCAAACATATTAATATTGTTTAAGTCTACAAATTCACTCTCAACTATTGAAAATCTGTTTGCCTAGATTTCCTTTTTGGTTGCCTTTGTTGGGGCTCCGTTTTTCCCAAAAGTTGGGCGCCCTTTTAAGAAAAAGACACCTACTCGGGTGTTCGGCCAGGATTTTGTAGGGTATCCTCGGTCATGACCTAGTCACTACCAGGCAGTTATGCACTTAGGGGACTTACAAATAGGGTGCAGCCCAAGTTACCAACAAATTGCCAACTAGGTGAATCGAACACAAAAGGGTTCACCGGGTGAGTTTGCTCGGCAACAAAAAACGCCGCGAGGATACCATCTCTCAGCCCTTGTGAAGCTGGGCTGCTCCCGTCGACAACTTTTAGTCAGCAATCACCGGGTCTTCCCGTAGAAGCCGATCAAACCAACAGCCGAAGCAGCGGGATGGCTGGGAACCGGAACCACCAGGGAGAGACAACAACACATAAACCCAAAAAAACACATCTAAAAGCTGAAGGAACTGGCTGTGGGTCAAAGCCCATAGTATCCCATTTTGGGGTATGGGAATTCACCACCCATTACAGAAAAATATGTTTTGGAGATTGAGATGTTCACTGGAGGTACGATTTGGGCTTTCACCCCCGGCCAACTGCATGCGTTTCGACCACCTGGAGCTCTTTGGCCCCTGACCGGCGACCGGCGCCTCTGCAGGCCAAGGTTGCGCTCCATGAGCGCCTCGGCGCGAAAAAGCACTCGCCCAGAGAAGCCAAAAACAAAGCCGTGTGCCGGCACTTACCTACTCAGACATACACATACATATGTTTATGTGTATATATATATATATGTGTATCTCTGTATCTATGTATATTTTGTATGCATATCTATATATGTGCATAAATATATGTATTTAGACATATATATATATTGTTTACATATGTGTGTGTGTGTCTTTTTGAGGGGTGTGGTTTTACAGGGGGAACAACGAGGAACATGGGGGGAAATAACACGCACCCACATGTGTATACGTACAATGAACCCTGTAATTAGTTAGCACATGGGGATTTTGTAGCTAGTTCAATGTACGCGATTCAATGAAGTATTATGCGGCATGATGCATTTTGCAAAGAGTCTCAAATCAACAGCATATGTCAAGACGCTGCGCATATGGAAATATGTACTTTGTCAACAAAGGGTCCTTGAAGGCCATTCTCCTTTCAAAGGGACTCCGTGTCAGGTTCTATGTTAGTTGGTGCGAGGGTTCCCGCCTTGTTGGTTAGCTTCCTGGGTTCTCAAGCCCACTTTTCGGACGGCTCAACTGCATCCAAGGCTCCCCCACTCGCCGCGACAGCGCACTCACAGAGCTCTCGCCTGTCGCGCAGCTCTCGTTTCGCTGAGCATGTCCATTTGCAAACAAAAACGCCCAGTCAATCCCTGCACCTGCGTAATAGGTAACCAAGGGCTTGCCACCCTAAGGAAAACAGCGAAGGGTCTATGAGGGCAACTGGGATTTTGTGGGACTTGTGTGAGGGCTATCGGAATACATAGGCGCATGCACAGAAATAACATGTCTGCATGGATGTGAAGCTGGGGGCAAGAGGTTAGGACTCGTAGGACTTGAGCAAGCGAGAACCCAAGTGATTTGCAACCTGATGCCTCGATGACATAGACAGCCCCCCATGAAGAACAGTGCAGCACGCCTGCTTGGTCAACAAGACCCAGTGGTTGACAGCAGGGCTCGTTGACTAATGGCTATGATTTTCAATGCTTGGAGTACTTGGTTCTTCAAAACCCGCCGCAAGATGTAGCACGGAACTTGCCCTGAACGGAAATGGAGATCCACACTGGACGCCGGGTTACCCCTGGAAGAAGCTCTTGCGGGAAGCCCTTGTTGGTACAAAAGGTGACCTAACACTTACCTGGGCTGCCCGCTTTCTGACCCCCCGCTAAAAGTGAACAACTTTCAGTGGGTTAACTTCGGAAACTACCCCTCAGCACCCAAGAGCTACAAGGCTAAGGAACCAGAGAGCTGGGAGCCACCAAGTTCTCATTTCCTGAGTTGATGGGCCAACAAAAGTTCAAACTTTCTGTTCACCACTAAAATGGTCTTCCCAAAAAGTTTAAAGTTCATGACCTGACAAAGTAAGAGTTACGGGAAACCCTTGAGGCTCTCCTTCGGCCCAAATTGATCTGCCATCGCTCACCTTCCGGCTCCGGAGGCGCCAAGTCCGCCGTCAGGCCCTGCAACCTGATCGAGCCCGTTGAGCCCCAAGAAACAGACCCGGTGGGTCCCAGGCGTGTTGCCCTTGTAGCTAACCCTTCGCTATTTTCCTTTCGGTGTTTGACCCTTGTGCCTTCATTGCCTACTAAAGCCCCAAAGCCCCAAAGCCCCAAAGCCCCAAATGTTTGAAGGGTAGCTCCCTTGTCCCTTCATTGCCTCTTCAAAGAGAGAGCGTTGACCCCATATGAATCAACCCGTTTCCCTAGTAATTAACTTGCCTTTTTCATATGGGGTCAACACAGCGGATCCCAGTTGCCCTCGTAGTAGGTTAGTAGGTAACCAACTATTTTCCTTTTGGTGTTCAAAGGGTGGCTCCCTTGGCTGCCTTCTATACTGCTAGATGGATCCACTGGGATAGAAACCCCAAGACAAAAAAACAAAAAACAAGAAAAACAAAGCTAAAATAACCTCAGTTGCTTTCTGCTCCCCTGCTAAAACATAACTTTTAGTGGTTTAATGGCAAACCCATTAGTTGGCAAAAAGTTAAAGTCCTAACATCCAAGCAACATGCACCGAAGTAACCTCCTGTCCACTAATAATGGAACCTCACAGCAAGGTCCTGGAAAACATTCTGCTTTTAAAACGGACCCCCTGATAATAGTTCCATGTTAGTGGACAGGAGGGTACTTCAACACTCCCAAGAAGGTGTAAAGTTGGCTCAGGATGTTGGCGGAAGGAAAGCAAGAACGCTTGGGAGAGGGTCCTTCCGATGTCCAAAAGCCAGAAATCACTAGACAACCCAGGCGCTAGCAGGTTGACAGTCAGGCAACCCCTGGTTGGTGGTTTGGAGCCCATTGGTTTGGATTTGGATTTGCTTGCTTGTTGTAGAGGCTAAATGGGAAACCTTCCCTAACAACGAAACCACCGGGCTGCAAACCACCAAACAATGTCAAGCTGATACAAAGAGGGGCGCTTGTTAGCATTCCTCAACCTCCTAACGCCTTGAGGTTCCTGCTCTAAGTAGGTGATTGCCCCGTTATTTGGGGGTGCTGATCGGCATGGATGGTTGCCCGCGACAGAAAATCGTATCATGGGGCGGTACATGGCTGTCAAACACATCCTGTTGTCAAGCGCATGTTCCGGCATGTTTTGGAGGTACGGATGCTTCTTATATACAACCAATATGGGCTTGTAAGGCAGCGTATACCCCGGTTTGCACGTGGTGTATAACCTCCATGCGGTGGATGGACAAAATCCTCCACCTAAGAACCCCGGGAATGCCGATTCCCCGCCAAATATCAACCAACACTGGTTTCCCTCGCTTTCCACGTGGCGCGAAATGGATCTCGCAGCCATCCAGTCCAAAAGCCATCATCTCTACTCTTGGTTTGGTAGGAAAGAACTTTTGGGAAGCCACTACAAAGAGCCCCAGCTCCTTGCGCAACCCACAGTACGGATAGAGGATTACCTTCGAACAGCCCAGACAAACCATTTTTGGGTTCCCACGAGAAAAAATAATAATATATATATATATATATATGATGGTTCTAGGCTGAATGAACAAGCGTTCCTGAAAGCCAATGCAGGATTTTGGGCAGCCAATGCCGGATTTGGTCCATCCGCAGGCAGTCTGCACCCCAAAGTCTCGCCGAAGGGCGCGGCCCGCAGCTCCGCGGAGTGCCGAGCGGCCGCGGCCTGCGCCTGGAAAGTGGCCCGAAGGAATGGGGTCACAGGAGTTCCCCTTAATGCTAACCCCGGATCTAAGTAGAACCCCTGGTTGAAAAATAGGGGGGTGTCCCCTTTTAGTGGGGGTTCATCACTTTTGGAGGGAACACCCCCCTAATAATGGTACAAAACCACCCAAAAACCTGGGGAAACAAACGGTTTTTGAAAAGAACGATGGTTGAAAAGAATGGGGATGTGGGTCCTCTAGTAGAGAGGTCAGAGTAAGGGTACCAACATTTTTTCTGTAGTCTATGTTAGTATGGGAGCCCTCCCCCAAAAAAGTTGGTAAAAGGGCACTACTGGGAGACCTAGCCCCAATCAAAAGTTGAGTCAATTTACTGGCGGCTTCCATGGAAGCGGTCGCAACTTTTGGAGGTTTCAAGGGAAAATTGTAAAAGGGAGACAAGGAACAGCTTCCCTCCATATCAGACCCGTGCAAAACATGAAGTCATATGTCCAGGTGATAGATCCCCCTTTTTCTGCCAACAGGGGAAAACAAACACAAATCCTGTCAGCATCCGCAAGGCTTCAGCTTTGGCGAGCCAACAATTTGGGAAGGGTCGGGGGCCCCTTCCAGCACCAAGCTGACCATCGACACCCCGAAGGCCGTGCTTACACCACAGCACGAGACGGAAAGCGGAACCGTCGCCTGTACTAGTCTTGGTTGCTGTTGACCCTGCCAAAAGCTTCACTCTTTGGGGCTTTAGTAGAAAACACCATTATTTAGTTATTTCCCAAAAAGGTTGAAGTCTAAAGTTCCGTTACCCAGCAGTCAAGTAGTACCTCCTTTTCCGCTAACATGACACCCAGTGGGAGGCGACGTGGAAGATCATTCGTACCTCTTCTAGCCGCTTTCGTCAGGTGCCATGGGAGCAGGGGTGCCAAAAACACCCCGCAGGGGGCCGGGCCACGCATTTTGTTCGGCGCGGCTCAGGAAATGTGAACATGACTTAATGCCTGAACCTGCTCCTGCCAGGGGGAAACATAAAACTGCCAACCAGAGGGGTTACCAATACGGGGTCAGCAGTTTGGCGTTCTTCACGTCTCGAGGAAAAGCCACTTCAAGGAAACCAGGAGGATCAGTCAGCCGAGCATATTGTCGAGTTGTTGAACACTCGAATTTACGAGCTCATGCTGTGCCTGTCCCCCCGAACAATTTACCCTCCCATGTACAAACATGAAACCTGATTTGGCCCTAGATGGAGCAAGGGCCAGAACCATCGCTCCTGCTTGGCTCTGAATCAATAGAAAGGATGCAATGACTCCCTTGTTCTTGTTCGTGGCAAGGCATACGTTATAACGAGGCTGCGTAAGGAAATCAGCGGTTGGCGACTGATAGAAAACGGGTTTGACACCCTTGGACTAAGGCAACACCTGAGCTGAAACCACAACCTCAAGACAGGCACCGTGCCCACAAGTCACGCAAAGAACATTCCAAGAAACATATTTTTGCGGATAGACACTATCCTGCACCACTTAGTAACTATCACAGGGGTTTCTCGCGTTTCCTCTGTCCTAATTGGTGCCGGACACTGTCCATCCACAGTCTGCCGCACCCACGTCGTTTCCTCGGAAACCTCCATTTGCTCAAGTCCCCTGGAAAAAAAGGAATATTTCCAGTAGTGATAGATTCCCTTTAACACCAACCGGGGGAAATAGAAAAAACATCTTAACCAAATGGAAGCTTACTTCATGTCACCCTCCCACGGGGCGATCCTCCTCGGCCGAGTGATGCGTCTCCTGGGCAGCCTCAAGGGCTTCCAAGCAGCTCCTTAGCGCTCTCTCAGCTCCCTCTCTCTATCTCTCGGGGTTGGCAAAGAGGCCCAAACTGGATGCCAAGTTTTTTTCTCCTAGCACACACTTCCATTTCCTCCTCTTGACAAGGGGGCCATTGATCTGAGCTTCTTTCTGGGTATAATGTTTGAAGGGAATACTGTGGATGGTTGCGAAATATATCTCATAATGTTGGTTGCTATTTATGTTTGCGAATCAAATCAAAAACCAGAGTTTCTGAAAGGTGGGTGGCGACATCCACTTAGTAAGTGGCTTGCCTATGTCAATCCCACAATTCACAGGGGTTGCTCATGTTTCCTCCATCCCAGGTGATGCCGAAATGCGGAGTTCCGCAACCGTCCAGGTGGGAGGGGGCCCGGCAAGTCAGGCCAAAAGTGCGAGCCGGGCCGCTGGTGCTTCTGCATCTCCTGAGCCAGGATTCTCCCCAAGAAAACACCAAGTTGTCTGTGCCTGCGGTTGGGCAGCAGATCCACAGGGCCTAGCTGAACAAGGGGCCCAGCAAAGGCTGTACATCCTTTGAGGAGTTCCTTTGAAGTGCCTTTGTTTCGTGTTGCATGCTTTTTAGCGTCGCGCGGCGTCGCTCTGCATCCGAGACAAAAAGAGAAATGGGCCCAAAGGGAAAAGCCACGAATCTGGTGTTCCCCCCCTTTTTTGTTGACGAGCCATTCCCAGAAAACGCGTGTGTCTTGTTGTGCTCGGTGTCCTTTTTTTTTGGTGGCCTCAATGTAAAACCAAAGGGACACTACCCAGTGGAAATTCCCCCCTTGGAGATAAACCCAAGTCTCACCCACTAGGGCCGAGCTTTCCAGAACAGTGCTCTCGAAATTGCTTGAGCTTCTGGCTTATGCCATCTCCCGAGTAAAAGCAGGTCTTGGTAATTTAAGTTCGCCACCGAAAAACAGGATCCCTCAAAGGATACTTTTGGGCCAGTTGCATCTTCACTTTACCAGCTGATTTCATGCGGTTGCATCCTGCAAGAAACCCCGTGAAAAGGTCCAAGCCGAGTTGGACAACTTGCCACGATCTGGAAAACCAGGCCTAACTTTGTTTTGCTAGGTCTGCGAGAGGTTACAATAAGGGTACCAACGCCTTTCCGTAGTCTATTTTAGTAGGGGAACCCTCCCCCAAAAAAGTTGGTAAAAGGGCACCTAGCCGGGGGACCTCGTCTGTCAATCCCGTCCATTGCACACTACTCACGCTGGCCACTTTCATGCCCCAACGCGGCTGCAAGCAACCGATCGGTTCAGGTGAACAAAACCTAGAAGGGAAGCAACCCTCTGAAAAACCCTTTAGGTGACACAGTGCATTGGCTTTAGGCAAGGTTTACTCAACCACTGGAGTTACCCAAAAAATTGAATCATTTTCTGGATGGCTTGCTCTGAAACGATCGCCACTTTTTGAGATACAGGGCTCCCTATATTTCCCCTTAAAAACATCATCTCCACCAAGGGATGCTCACCTTTCATGGGCCAAAAAGGTGATGCTTCAAACCACCCAAAAAGGGAAATATAGGGACCCCTGAGATACCCTAAAAAAAAGGGGAGAAAACCAAAAAAAACATGGCTTGCTCTGAAACGATCGCCACTTTTGGAGATACCAAAAAAAATGGAGAAAACAAAGAACCCCGAGTCGGACCCCGAGAAGTAAACCGAAGGGTACCACTTCCACACCGGCTGCATGGGTCCCGGCCGGAGACAAAAGAAAGTCGCCAGGAGGAAAACGTACGGAAAAAACCGGAAGCTCCGAGGTCAAGTTGCTTTCGTAGCTTCCCAACACCCACAACATTCGCAGTTTTGGGCGCATTTCTTGAACAACCTGGTTTCCATGGTAGATGCCTCCTTTGGTAGTAGTTGGTTGACATGATGCCCGGAAGCAACGGGTATTTGGAGTCGGGGGTACTAAACGGTACCGCGTTCCCAATCGACTGTACGTCAAAATTGCGATTTCGACATGCGCGTTACCTGCCTTCCATTTGCCTAAGAGTATGTTGCTTTTATTTCCCCCTGTTGGTTTTAAAGGGAAGCGGTTTCACTACTGGAAGCATTTGCTCATTGTTTCCAGGAGGGCCCCAAATGGAAGAGGGGGAGGCAAATTTTAAAGACGTAGACCCCGCATCAATATACACCCGTCCTATTAGGGGGGTTTATGTCCCTCCAAAAGTGGCTCCAATCAATTGGACAACCCCCTCAAGCAGGGGTTTCATTTCATCTGGGTCAACATTCTAGGGGTTGATTCCCTGTTTTTTGCAACCATCGTTCTCTTCAAAAATCGGCTGTTTCCCCTATATAAGTGTTTGATGGTTTCCTGAAAAGAAGGATCCCGGGGAAAGAATGGAAGGTACCCCTTTTTCTTCCTTACACCTCGATGGAGGTATGGGCCGTTCTGAGGCCAAATGGCGATCGCCAGCTCGCTTTGCAACCTCGGTTTTTACGGATCGAACTGCTCACTGGGTGCTCTGTTTTGGACAAATAAGTTCCCGAACCACTGAGTGGTTCTTCTAGGTGGAGACTCCAGGTAGCCCGAGTAAATGCAGCCTTCCGATTGCTTGAGGTGCCGCTTGACAGGTCGCATGTGAGCCATCCTTTTCGGTGGGGGTCTTCGGGAGGTCTCCCGAAGCGCTGGTTTCCTCTTTGGACTTCCTTAAAAGAGCCACCCCAAGAAGGGTGGCCTCAAACCACACGACACGCTTTTTCTGAAGTCTATTTTAGTAGGGGAAACTTCCCAACCAAAAAAGGGGTGGGAAAGGGCATTACTGGGGGACCTAGGACAACGCGTCTGGGGGGTTCCCTTAAAAAAGACCGTTGGGTTCGAACTTCAATGGGTCCCCCTCGGATCATTTAGGCTGGCATTTCTGTCCAATTCAAGTGGTTCCAGCTCTTGAAAATGCATGGGTACAATTGGCGGTAGCAAAGCACGTTACTTTTTGCAGCCCCCTGCTAAAAAAAACTGAACCAAAACAATCAACCTAATAAACATACAACCAACTTGCCAACAACAGTGAAGTTTTTAGGAAGTGAGCCCATCCTAAACTGGCAAAAAATCACTTGGGAGACCCCCAAGAATACGACCCGTTCCATGTGTCCTTTGGAAAAGAGATGGCCCTGGTAGATGATTGATCCGCCAGGTCCACCGGGGCCCTCGATTTTTTTGCTTGCCAAAACCGACCAAGAAGGACACCGACCGACTCCTTCCACTCTTTCTGCCGGGTAACTCGGATGCCGCGACCTCCTTCAGTTGCAACTGCTGTCGGGCGGAGGCGCAGGCCTCCACGGGGTTTCCTCAAAAAAACCAACCAGAAACTAGGTCCTCCAGTAGAACTTTGGCTTTGAAGTCCCAAATTCCCTCACTTCCCAAGCGGATGGGCCAAAAAAGGTCCAACTTGTGTTGTTTACCACTAACATGGTTTTCCCAAAAGCTTATCTAGGTCCTCCAGTAGAGAGGTTGGAATAAGGATGCTCTTTTTTCTGTAGTCTATTTTAGTAGGGGAACCCTCCCCGCGAAAAGGGCAAAAGGGCACTACTGGGAGACCTAGCAAACACCTTGAAAACCAGGTTGAATCAGATCCCCTGCTAAAAGCTTAACTTTTAGTGGGGTTAAATTCGGAAACTGCCAATGTTCAACAAGGATGTGTTTTTGCTGAAGGTCCTTTTTTTAGGTTGGTTTAGAAGGAAATGCTTATTCCCCGAGTTCATGGACTGTAGTCACCCCTTTTTTTCCCCTTAAGGTAGGGGGCGACGCAAAGGAAACCAAAGGGGGGGGGGGGGGTGGTAAGGAACCGGACGGCTGGGGGCCACTCAGACGAGATATGTCCCTTTCAGCTTCCCTCAAAAAGAATCGGTGGTTTTGGGCGGAATCGGTGGTTTTGGGCGGAATCGGCTGTTTGCTGGTGTTCTGGAGGGGCTTCCCATCTAACTTCTGCTGGTGTAACGTCTGCCGTGTGGAGAGCATGTTCTACACAAAACCTGGGGAACTACGGGTAAATTCCCTGCTGGTGCTCAGTAGGGAATGAGGGAATTAACCTGGGGATTCCCTGAAAGGAAACCACCAGTCGGATGGTTTATAGGGTTCAATTCCCTCATTCCCTGCTGAGCACCAGCAAGATTAGATATGTCCCTTGCTGCTCTAGTTCCATTTGTCAGGGGAGGTTGAAAAGCATATTCCTTTCAGCAAATTGAAGTGAAAGCATTCGTAAGAAAGGGGGTCCACAACCAAATGTCGCAATTCCGGTCGCGTGGATGGCCCCCAAAAAAGGTAACCACACTTGTGGGGTGCCACTAGAATGGTCCAGCCCCAAAAAGTGACCTAAAATCCAAAACGGAACTCAGGAAGTGAGTACCACGAAAGTTCTGACTTGTTGACCAAACTGACCTTCACAAAACTGCTCTCTGATGGGAGTAGAAGTTGGGTTCCTGAAGGGAAACCACAGGAACGAAACCAGCAAAACTCAGCATGGTCCAACAAATATAACCCTCTCTCGATGTCGCTCCAAAAGACCTCCCCTGAACGGAAACCACAGAACCCATTCACCAAAGTTATACCCTCGGGTGTTGGTCATCTACTCATGGATTTGCACAACAAGGTAAGCATATTTCTGCATATGTCTGATACCACGGGCCTCGTACTTTCTGACAAAGCAGGGGGCTTGAAATGATGGTAGAGCTAAAGCCCAACACGAGCATGAACCCCCAGTGCAACTGGCTGGTTGGCATGGGCTTCTCTCCAGCCCAAGTGCAGAAGCTTGGGAAGCGAACACATGAGTCACAAGCAAAACCGGGTCTTGAAATGGTTGACCCAGAACCATAAGGAAATGCAAAGGCGGCCGCAACTACTTATGGCTGGGATCCCTTACTAACCCTCATCTACCCGGGTTTTGATTGTGGCTCACATGCACAAGGCGTTTTTTTTTCGATCTGGAGACGGTCTTCCAGAAACCTCCCGCCAGGTCCCATGTAAAAGTGGGCCGAAGCACGGAGAAAGCAAGAGCAGCACTCCGCTGGTTGACCCCCACTATGGGACCCAGGCCCCAATAAATTGCCTTCCCTGAAAAAAAAATAACCTTGGCACTCTTTTCATAGTTGATTCTAGCGGGGCCCACCCCTTCCCAACGAAATGAGAAAACAAAACGCAACCCACGGTTTGAGTTTGACAGCGGAAGCCTTCTCCCCATCAGTGGGACTCGCCGGAGTCCTTGAAAACTAAGGGCTTGTTTCGGCCGAAACCCCAAGGCTGTCAGCTGTGGGAAACAAGCATAGCTTGTGGTGGGGCCAATGGAAAATCCCGTGTTTCCCCCAAAAAGCTCAAGTCCAAACCATCTGCATCCTCAGCTGGGCCAGGCTGAGCTTACCCGAGCCTCCACAAGTGAACATTTTCTAGGTCCTCCAGTAGAGAGTTTAGAATAGGGTTCCAAAAGTCCGAGCAAATAGCCATAAAGCAACCATTGCATGTAAGTGAGGGTGTAACAAGGACCCCCCCCGTGTTTTTAGTCATGACTTTGCGGTTGAGCACGGCAGGTTCACTTGCAAACTTGGCTCGATAAAAACGTGCTTGCCCCAAAAGGACAACTCAAAGGTCGCACCGGTGTGAGCCATGGTTTGGCGCTTGCCCATTTTTGGGTGTCCACCTTGAGCCAAACCTTTTTGGTGTCATTCCCCGAAATCCAAAGGAAAACCCAGCGAGGGCAAAAGGCGCCTCTTCGGCCCCTTTTGCTTCCTCTGCGCTGCGGTGGCTCCTCGGGACAACTCTCGGGCCATCCAAATGGACATCTCACAAAACTGGAACGGCGGGACTTTGGGTGCGTCATTTTGAGGGTTTAACGATCGACCAAGAGGAACACTGTGATTGCATCTCTGTTTTAAACTTGGGGTTTTCCGCCTAACAAAAACGGGCACATCCCTTTGAACCGCAAGGGCCTAGATTGTTAGGCTCATTTCCCCGAAAAATGGGCAGGGGGCCCTGGTCTTGTCATAGGCGTTAAGAAAAGGTCCGGTCCAGGGCCATCTATTTTCCATGTTCTAGTCACCTCCCAAGTGGATGGGTAAAGTCCAGAAACTCAGGAAGTGAGTAGAGGACCTTTGCTCTACTTGTGGGCAGCCCAAACATGACAGCCGCAAATGTTAAAAGCATGCGCAGTTCATTGGTAGGGTGGGGTCGAAGGGTACTGTAAAATCTGCAGCATAAGATAATGTGCAAACATATGTTGCCTCTTGAATTACATGTCCATCCTGAAAGAACCAAACAAGCAAACTCACTTGCAAATGTGCAAATGAGTCGCACATTCCAATTTTGCCTTGTTAGGTCGCTTGAATTTGCAGGGGTTCCCTTCATTTCAAGCCTTAGCACATGCCGTCGAGGTGCGTAGTGTTTTGATACGCCACAATATATAGTTCTCCTCCAGAGCCAGCCTATGGACACTACTTTAGCTGGGGGCCCTGGTGTTGACAGATGCGTTTTGCAGGAAAATAGATAGCCCTGGATTATGAAACAACCAGGTCGGGAAAAATATGTTCTATGTTCTACTCACTTTCCGGGTGGGCGGGTCAAAAATTGACTTGGCTGTGGCTCAAAAAAGTGGTACCAAAATGGCACCTTGGTAAATACGACCAAAGACAAAAACCCGCGTAACCCCAACTCTTTAATTTTGAGCCATACCCACTTGTTGTCTACCACTAAAATGGTCTTGTTAAAAAGCTGAAAGCCCAGGAACTCGGAGAGTGAGACTTTCGACCAACGCAACCCAGAAATTACACCTAGGGTCGCCCCGGTCGCAGCAATTTCATCATGCAACTGGGCAGAATACGAACTGTTGGAAGTACGTGTACCCCCGCGTAATTAGAAACAAACAAAAACACTCCTATTGGAACCCCCCCCCCAAACCCAATCCCAATAGACCCCCTGTTCCGGGGACCCTCCCAAACCAATAAACCCCGGCAAAAACAGGGGGACTAACCATCTCTACTCTTGGTATGGTAGCAAAAAACTTTGTCTTTTGCAGACCCCCAGTAAAAAGAATGAACAGAACCAAACAACTAAATCTCCAAAAACCATGCCAAGAACAGTGAAGTGACAGTTCGTGGGAGTGCGGGCTGGTGCGGATTGGTTGCAGCATCCGAGTCTCTCCGAGCTCATCTTCCCGAGGCCTTCAAGCTGCTCCCGGCACCTGACGATGGAAACCTCCATTTGCTTTATCGCCCAGTGGAAAAATGAAAACAACATATTTCCAGTAGTGGTAGATTCCCTTTGAAACCAACAGGGGAAAAAACCAATAAAACAATATTCACAACCAAATGGAAGATGGCGTCGCATCCACAAAGGATCCCTCTAAATGGTGGCTTGTCACTGTCAACTCGCAAATTCAGTCCCCCCGGGCCTCTCTGAGACGCTTTAGGTCTCACCACAAACATGACTTGATGCGAATGCGAGAGGTGTCTAAATGGTGGCTTCAAGGGAAGCAGCCCCCCCAAAAGTAGTTTGGAGAAGCCCTCAACATTCAGGTCCTCCAGTAGAGAGGTTACAATAAGGGTACCCTTTTTGCTTAGCCTATTTTAGTAGGGGAACCCTCCCTAAAAAAGGGTAAAGGGCACTACTGGGGGCCCTAAATATGTTCACTGCTTGCGACCCAGCAGGGTGAGCTTCCGTCCGCTTACAAACTCGCAGTCGTCTCTTCATTGCGTGGGAAGATGTGTCGCATACCTCTGCGGAAGCCCAACATGACTAGGCTGGAAATAGGACCCCAGCAAAAAATATCTTTTTTGCCTGGTCAGTGGAAAACAAAAGGAACCCCAGAAAAGCAAAAAAGGAAAAAGGGGAGCTAATTCTGGGGAAGATGAGATGCCGGATTCTCTGCAGCAACCCAATACCATCTGGAGGTTGTCAACAGTAGTACGGCTCCCAGAACTTTCGGAGATTGGAAACACACCAGGGGGGGTGCTAGTCAGAAAGCCCGGCTTTTTGCTTTAAGCAGCTGTCTGGCCACAAAGCAAAACCGCTTAGGGACTTTATTCACGACGCACAAACTTGAGCAAGGTCAATAGAGCAGCATGGACCCTGCAACCCACCGAACTCTTGAGCTGCAACCACCGGCAAAATCCAAAAAACACCGCGCTCGGGGTGTGCACAACGGTACCACATGTGTTTGTTTCAAGCGTCGGACATGGTAGCTGAAGGTCATCAAAACCGTTCAAGTGCTTGCAGGCCAAATGTTTGGCCTCCGCAGAGCCTGCAAGCACTCACTCGCTGAGTTGACTGGTTGCTTGGCCGAATGAGCAGAAGGCTAAAGTGAACCAAAGGATATTGCCGAAAGGGCCAACTTGATTGTTCTGATATGTCCAATATCCCAAGCCGAACGTTCAAACTCAAAATCCTCGACGACACGTCCTTCCCTAGCAACTGGGAGGTCCACTTGTGGCGAGTCAAGGACCCTAACGACCAAAGTATAAACTTGTCGAACTTTTCGCACGGACCCGCTTGAATCCCAGCAAAACACCAACATGAAACTAGGCTGTGCTCAGATCCCCCGGTTAAAAATTCAGCTTTTAGTGGGCTAAATGGAAAGCCCCACGAAACAAAAAAAGCTAAAAAGCCGAGGAACCGGATCTTACCCCTTAAAATTCCAAGCAACCTGGGGAAGTTCTCATCTTTTACAGACTTTTTTAGCCCATGTTACCCAACAAGTTGAAAAGTTGTTTTTAGGAGGTAAGGGATGGCTGCGAAATCGCCACCAAGGAAACTATGGCAATGGACCTTCTCCCTGGGCTTTCGGTCGTTGGCCCCCCTGGGCCTCAAGCACCCCCTTCCCGCTTCGCTGATGTGTCCGGTCTTGGGTTCGCGTGGAGTCTCTTTATGGCCATGTGATACTGGCCGGCATCAATTGGATGGATGAAACCCATGGAAAACTGAAAGAAAAAGAAGAAAAACAAACACCTACCAACTGCCCAACTGTTTGTTTCTTCAGTGGATGGGCCAAACAAAAACTGGTCTGAACTTTTCGTTTACCACCAAAATGGTCCCAGCCCAAAAAGTTCAGTCCGGTTGAACTCAGGGAGTGTCAATCCACCCATCCAGCTGGGCCCAAGGGCGTGTCTTTCAGCTTTGCCGCCTAGGCCCGGCGGAAGAAAGTCGTCTGGCAACGGAAAAATCCCGACGTCACAAAACCGAGCCCCTGCGAAAAGTGAACAACTTTTTGTGGGTGAAACAGAACTCTATGCCACTAAACCCCACCTTTTGCGGGTTGAACAGAAATCTCTTCCATTGAGCTCCCGCCAAAAAAGGCAAAAGAGTCCTAAGAAACAGGGTCGCCGAATGGAAACTGCCAATCCCCAGATTGTTTCAGCAACCAAATCGCTGACCACCAAGCGCTTGCCAAGCACCTTTGGGCTAAGTGAGCTCAATGTAGCTTCCCACAGTATAAGGGCTTTGATTTTCCTCATCCCTGCCTGCTTGACCCCCGAGAATGCGGATGCCGCTCGAGTGTGGGGAAAAGGTATCGCAAAGCGACCGAACGCTGCGAACGATACGCACGTGTCACCCCAATGGTCATGTCAGCATCTAATGGTCATGTCACCCCAAAAACCCAGAAATACAAGGTGAACACTGGGCTTACTACAAATGGAAACCCGAAATGCGGGTAACAACTCAGGTCAAATCCAAAGCGATTCGCTTCTGAGAGAAGCGGGGACCCAAACTCTCCCCATCCCCCAACCAGGGGGCAACTGTTGGCCTTCTTCGAACTCCGAAACTTTGGATCCCAATCAATCATGGAGGCCGAGGATCGGAAGGTTCCGTTTGGAAAACTACGTTCCGTCTGGGCTTGGAACACCAAGGATGGCATAGGTGTCCCTTTCTTTTGTTTTTTCTTTGATTTGTTTGCTTTTTTTTTTCCGCAAAATAGATGGCCCTGGTTGATGATTGGAATCCGCCGGGGTTTCCAGGGCCCTCCATTTTTTTGGCGCCAAGCTGACCAAAAAGGACACTTATGCCAAGGGCTCGACTTCCAGGCAAAAAGCATAAGGGGGTGACTCAACATCATCTTGATACACACAGATCCTACCCCAAAGCCAGCTCCCTGGAAACAGCAAGAGATGACTTGCGCTGTCTGGGTCAGAAGTTGTGCTCAAAGCAATACCCAGTACTAGAATCACTAAAAACGTCTTCAAGGAAATATGTGGGATTGATAGGTGTCCTGTTTTGGAAAATAGATGGCCCTGGTAGATGATTGATGTGCCAGGTAAACCAGGGCCCTCTATTTTTTTGGTGACCAAAAAGGACGCCTATGTGTGGGAACCTTTGTTGGAACGGTGCGCGCCAACCACCCCCTATCAAAAGCCATACATGCGAAGAATCAAAAGGTCGTCCGCACCTAGGTTCACTTCTTGAGTGGATTGGCCCAAAAGTCGGAACTTTTGGGTGGCCACTGAAAATGGTATTCGCAATACGTGTGAAGTGGGAGTGAGCTGGAGCTACCCTGGCAAGCTTTAGCTACAAGGATTGTTTTGGTGGCCCAAACTTGGCCCAAAAATCCGTGGCAGGTTTGGCTGAGGGGGGGGTCTTACTTTTGGACAACGACGCTAGGTTTTGATGAGTCCTGGCTACGCGACCTAAACCCCGAAACCCCCAGCGACCATAGGAAAAGAGAGGGGAGAGAGGGGGCGTTTTGAGTCGAATTCCAAAAAAAGGAGAAACGAGGGCCGTTCCGAGTGTCTGGGATGGCCACGTTGGTCCCAGGTGCCTTGCCCCCCCCCCCCGCCTCCGCCCGAAGTCGCGACACCTCGCCCGCAAGAGCCGCCTCTGCTGCAAGAGCGCCTGGCTTCCGCAAGGAGGCTGGGAGATCCAATCTGAGGGACCGCTGATGCCATGGGTGAAAAACCAAATCGTACCTCCAGTGAACCACTGAAATAGACTAAAATGGGTGGTGCACCTATCCCAAAATCATGCTGGTTTTGAACTATGGCCCATGTCCTACTTGGATGTTTCGGTGAGTGGTGACCCACCTGGGCTATAACCCAACAATGACATGGTGAACTCCACTCGGCGAAGCCATGATGACAATCCTGGCTTGGGGCTGCTCATGACCAAACATCAAGCGAAAAGCATTCACCCAAACCGCCTCAGGTGTTGCCCCCAACCGTAAAAGCAGCCCTCAGCCGGGAGTTTGCCACATCGCCCGAACGCACCCACCTTTCCCGCCTGCCGCGCTCTCCTGGTGCTGGGCCAACTCAGAAGCGACTTTCCTGAGCAGCTGGAGCGCCTATGCAACTGTGCAGCTGGGTATGGGTCAAAATTAAACCACCACAAAACCGCAGACTTTAGTCTACGTTTCCACTTGCCAGGGTTCCATGTTGGGTACCTATGTTTGACCCACAGCCAGCTTAGGGATCTGAGAAAACCCCCTAAATGCCCCTAAAAGCCCGAGAAGAATCCCCAGCAGTCTGTTTGAGCAAGCCCCCGCTCAACACCACAACTCAGATCACATCTGCCTTTTGCCTGGTTCCCACTAAGCACGAACAGCCTTGGCAAAAGATCGAAGCATCTAAACTTGGAGATCCTCTCGGTAGCCATGGGGAACAAATTATTTGGAAGTGTTTTGTTTTCATTCTCTCCCTGGGTATCCCTTTGGAGAAGCTAGCACAAAATGGGTCATTTGCTGGGTTGCTCCCTCCGCATTGGGTCGATCACCTTTTGGATGGAGCAGCCTACCATTTGTGCCCACCAGCATCCAACTGCTTTTTCCCGTGTCCAAAATCCGACGTCCGGGCGCTTGAGTCACATCGCCGGAATCTCTACTGCTATTGGGTTGGATCTTTAGACTTTAACTTTTGGATACCCCTCACATTTCCTTTTAACCTGCACAAAAAATAAAAAGTCAAACTTTTATTCTAAGCGATCTACACCGCCCGAGGAATCGCCAGAAACGATTCCTTCGTGAGCCAAGCAGCTGCAAGGCGCCGGCTGCCTCGCTGGCCTCACCTGGCGCGCGAGGCTTTTTTTCCTCGTTTCAGCCGACTGCCAAGCCTCACTTCCTGGACTGGTTGACCACTCAAATGGTCCATGTCCTGTAGATGTTAATTGGTAGATACTCATAGCATCCTAGGTTACACTTCCTTGAATGGTCCTGGGAAGTAGCGCTCTTCGGCCAAGATAATAAGTGGTTGGCCATCTGGGGAACTAACACACTAGTCCCAGGGTCAACACTCCACTAGAAGTGGGTTGTCACCTAGGTTTCTTCCATTTGTTCTTTCGCCCCCTGGAAAAATCACATATTGTGAATAAGATTGCCTTGAAAACCAGTCCATAATAATGAAGAGTTTTAAGCAACTGGAAGAATACTAACTTAGTATTTCCCTGCAACCATGACGAACTTTGGTTTTGAAGTCCCCCACAACCCCACTCCCTCACTTCCCAAGTGGATGGGCCAAAAAAGGTTCAACTTGTTGTTTACCACTAACATTATTTTCCCAAAAGCTTGTCTAGGTCCTCCAGTAGGGAGGATAGAATAAGGGTGCCCTTTTTTTCTGTATTTTTTTGTAGGGTAACCCTCCCCAAAAAAGGAAACGGTAAAAGGGCACGCACTACTGGGAGACCTGGTTAAAGTCCAGGAACTCAGGGTGTGAGTTCCACTTCTTTAGCCCCTGATGGTACTCCCATTCCCCAACTTGAGCTCCGGAATCCCCAAGTTCGTGAGCTTCCCTGACCTCCTGAGCTGTTCCCCAGCCGCGGCGGTAAGATCGCTATGAGATCGCAAGGGCAGAAGCAACCGAACGCAGGTTACAACTTGTCAGCAAAAGCTGTGAGAAAAAAAGAAGAAGAAAAAAACACATTCCTCACTACAGAGGGGGGCTCTCACCATAGAACCCCTTCCCTCATACTCCGCTTGAAGGGACCAGGCGGGTTCCACCCACCTGGAACTAAAAAGGCATTTTTGTTGGAACCTGGTCTAAATCTGGGCCAAATCATTCGAACCCAGAACCTGCTTGTCTAAATCTGAACTAAATCAGGGAAACCAGAAGCTTCAAAGGTCGATTCGCTTTGGGGTGAGACGAAAACGTCCGACACGGACCTCATGGAGCGAGCTCCTCCGATTCCCGCGGCCGCGCCGCCGCCGATCCCGCGCCTCGCTGGCTTTGGACGTCTTCCGTCAGCTGGGCGCAGGCTGACTGCTCATGGGCCAGCTCCTGCAGGTCGAAATATTTATATATATATATATAACTTATCCCATGTAAAGGACCTTTTGATCGGCCCCCATTTGGAACCCAGCTTTTCAGAGAACTTTTCAGGTATTGGTTTTGGTTTTTCAGGTATGGGTTTTGGAGGCATGGAGGTTACCAATTCTGTAGCGGGTGTATATTGCCATGCAAGCTTGTACTAGCTACTAGTGATATAGATATATTTATATAAGCATGCATGGCTCCAAATCCCATGCCTGAAAATAGGCTGCATCTTTGGGGTTAATTAATTGATTCCATGTTCACTTGTGCAACGTTGCATTTCCGGAACCCTTCCGGCAGCCCAGCCCGCAAGCACGCCGAACCACATCTGGGCAAACACCCCAGAACCTTCAGCTGGGGAAAATATTAATTGAGTCCATGTTTTGTGTCAAAGGAACACTGTTTATGGTAGATCCCGCTTTTGGCGGGCAACCCGCCAAACAAAAAAGGGAAAAGGGTGTCACTCGACTGGAGGCACAATAAAGGCTTCTTCGAAGCGATCTTGGCCTCGAACATATCCTTTGTTTACTCTGGTTCCCGGCACAACTCAGGAAAACAAGAAGCTCAGTGTTAGGTGGTGTAGATGTTGACCCCCTGCTTTGGATGGACAAAGTGCTGCAGCACCTTTCTCCTGAGAAAGCCTCGAATGATGACTCCCCTGTAAAAACCAACCAACAATGGGTTTCCAAGTGGCGCAGGATGGCGTCCATCCACAGTAGAAGGAAATCATGCAACCCAAGTGTATCTGGGAAACTCGTGATGACTCTCCCAGCTTAAGCTTGGCTCATGCCTGGCAATCACTCCTGTTGCTCTTTTCTTCAACCCCGGAAGCAGGGGCCCTGAACACTAAACCGACTTTTCGACAGGCCCTGATGTGTGCCTTTATCATCACCCCATCAAGAGGGCAAACTCCGGCCCACAACACCCAGGGAGACTCCGGCCCCTTTCCAAGGGAAGGAACAAGGCGGTGGTTGAAGCAATAACAGGTGCCAACTGGTTTGCTCCTCGCCTTATCAGCAGTTCAAGGTCCGGACAAGCCATTCGCTCTTCGCTGAACCTTCACAAAGTCCTCTCAAACCTATGGCCTTCGGATTTGAGTCACCATTTGGCTGCTCAACATTAAACAGCTGGGTTAGGGTTTTAGTCTGCTCGTCCGACTACCAGAGTTCCCATTTTTTTGGACCCCCATTTTGGAGCCACACCCATTTTAAATTGACGCTAGTTGCTAACTTCACCAATGTCCTCTCAAAACTGGGACCTTTGGATTTGAGTCGCACTTTACATTGATCCCAACATCGCCATTGTCCCATTACCAGAACCAAATTTTCAGGACCCCATTTTGAGCCACGCCCATTTCTAAATTGAGCCCCCAAACTCGCCATGGACCTTCGCCTCCGACCGAAGGCAAAGTCTCCAAGTCTCAAAGTCCTGTGCCAGCTGTTGGCCCTGACTCAGCTCCAGCCTGCAGTCGAGTAACTGCGCCAAAAGCCAAAGCAAACAAATCCCGCCACTCACTTCTGATCCTTCGTGGATTGGCCGAACAAAGTCACCAGGAAGTTTGGTGACTTTGTTCAGGGGCGGCTTTTTGCCACCTTCTGTGAGAAAATTGGACAGCCTCTCAAAAAGGAATCCTTCACTACGAGGGGGTCGAGCATTGTTCCACAAAAGGCTTTGTTTGTTTACCAGTAAAATTGGTCCAGCCCAAAAAAAGTGACTTAAGTCCATCCTGGTATTCGAAGAAACCCAGATTTCTCCTCTGAAACCCAGGTTATGTTTCCGAACTCGCTTTTTTTGCAGGATTTTGGAGTAGCAGGATGAACTCAAGAAGTGAGGCCCCAAACGGCAGCAGAATGAGTTTCGACTGAAAGACTCAGCTCACAAGCTCCGCCAATGGGACCCAGGTATTTAGATATTAATCTGAAGGGTACACCCCAACACCACTCCCAATATACACTTGTGCCACTTACCTTCCACTTGCAAGCGTTCCCCCGGCTTCCACTTGCAAGTCCTGTTTCGTTCCGCCAGGGGTTCAGAACTCAAAGCAGATTCAACCTGCAAGACCAGGGGTAAATTTATTGGAAGATTTTGGGCTCATTTCCTGGCTGGATTGCCCCCCAAACAAATCAGGCTTCTTGGGCGCCACTCAAATGGCCCGGCACCACTACTCCAAATATCCACTTTTTCTAGGGTATGTTGTGACAAAAACTTGGGTTTCCATGCTAAATACCTCCGTTTTTTAGTAGAGGAAGCGACATCATACCCTACAACAAGAGGGTATTTGGAGTAGGGGTATCTTTCATTTGCTTGTTCCCCCACAAAAAAAAGAAACAAAAACAACATCCAGCAGTGAAATCGATTCCCCTCAAAAGCACCAGGAGAAAATAATCAAACCATGTTCGGAATATCCCCTCGGCAAACGGAAGTCCCCAACTTTGGGAACACACCCCACTCTGGGTATTGACCCCATTTAGGCACATTTCCGGATAAAGCCGGGATATTTCGAACCATTCCGGGTCATTTCCCCAAGGATGTAATCCCAGGGTGTAATACCAAAAAAAAAAAAAACCTCCGAAAGTAGAAGTTGACCTCAGCTCCGCTCCCGTCCCTCGGCTCTCGCCGATACCCCAAGCTGCTCGAAACCAAAGGCCCGGATGGGCCCCGGATACAAAAGGTGATCGCCTTCTGGGGTGGAAAAAATACACAATGGCAACCCAAAAAGGGGCGAAACAAGAACATCAAATGTTTGACTAGAACATCAACCCAAAAATGGCTTTTTGGAGTGGCGAAACATGAATGTTTGCCCAAAAAGGGGCGACTAGAAGGTCTAGAGGTCGATGCAAGCTTTGGGCAAGTGAGCGAAACATGGGAGGAACAGCCTCCATTGCCGAAAGCGCGGGGCAAAATGAGTAACGATCGAAGTGATAGAGTCAACGGGGAAAACAAAACATCATCTCTACTCTTGGTATGGTTGCGAAAAACTGACTGTTTTTGCAGACTCGCAGTAAAAATGAGAACAGAACCAAAGAACTAAAAAAACAAAACATGATCCAAGAAAAGTGAAGACACATATTCAACACCAGTAATAGATTCCCCTGACCAACGGGCCAACGGGGAAAACAAAACATATTCAGGGTTTGGCTTATTCCTGGCTAGTACAACCGGGTCGCTGACTGCCTTGCTTGGCAACAATCATAAGCCGCCATGTGCGCCCCGCTCGCTCCCCCCTTTTTTCTCTGCCAGAGGGGCTATGCCGCACCCCGAGAAATCCTCCGCGTCCGAGTCGCATCCAAAACCCGCGGGTTGAACGTTGACTGCACGAAGGAACTGCAAGTGGTTGACATTCCGTTGGGCTTCAGACCGGTAAGAGCAAGCTGCAGAGGTCGGTGCTTTCCGTGTATAGCCTCCCTGTATCCAGTAACACAAATCAAGTCAGTGCTTTCCTGACTGCCCTTTTTGAGCGGTACAAAGCTTTGTAGCTTTGTAGTTACTGCTTTGATCTTAATAACGGACCCTTTTGAGAAACAGCATTTCGAGACTCATGCCCACCACTCTTGAGGCTCTTGGAACTCTGAGAAATGGCTTTGCCTTGGAAACACCGCCCAACCGTCCGGGTTTTGGCGTCTCGCATCCCAGACTCGCATCCGACTCAGCGACTCAGCGCTTGCTCTTCTTGGTGGGCGTGGGCGCCGGCGCGTCGTCGTCCGGCTTCTCCGCTCCGTACTTGCTCCGGCTTTGGCGCCTGGCAACCGTGGGATGTCTTTGATGCCTCAAGACGTACTTCTAGGGGGTGATTCCTTCTCCATTCTTTTCAACCATCGATCTTTTCACAAACCAGATCCGTTTCCCCCAGGTTTTGGGCGGCTCTTTTAGGAAGAAGGATCCCTAGAAAGAATGTGGAAGGCACCCCTAAGTATTCGCTTGCCCTGGTCCTGGCTGTCATCCTTTTCTTGACTTGGTGGCTAAAAAATGCTCAGCTCGAACGAGCCGAAACGCGATCATTCCATGTTAAGGGGACTGCAGGATGGCGCATTCGGGTGAAGCTTGCAGTTCTTTGGACAGGTGTGGCATAGAGTCATTTGGAGGATAGATCCATTACCTCACTTCCTGAGTGGGCTGGCCAAAAAAAGAAACTAACTTGTTCTTTGCCACTAAAACGGTCCAAACCAAAACGCAACTGAAGGCCAGGAACTCATGGAGTGAGAAGACTGAACCTGAAATGAAAAACGGCGTGGCCTAAGGCTTGGAATGCTTTGCCAACCATAACAGTGGACAGGTGTTTTCACCATCTCTACTCTTGGTATGGGCTTGCGAAAAACTGACCGTTTTTTGCAGACCCCCAGTAAAAATGAGAACATAACCAAAAGATGGAACCCACTTCTGTGATACAACAGAAAGGGCCTAAGCCCAACGACTATTTTCTTCATATAAAGGGGGATTCCCGCACCTAACACAGAAGTGGGGAGAAACCCCTTGATCCCACAAGCCTGTGAACAAGTGTGTTCAAGATATCTACAAAAACCTGAAAGAGCGATGAACAGTGAGCACCGTGTGCACCAACAAGGTGGGCTTCCTCGCGGAAAACAAATTTGCACTTCAGGGGGAAGCAAAATTCCACTGCCACGAGTTTGGGAAGCAAAGCGTTTCCCGTTAAAACCAACAAGGGACAATAACAAGTATTCATTTCAGCAAACGGACATTTGTTGAAGGGAACTCCCTTTGAACTCAACCAAAGAGGGCAAAACATCTTTCTTCCCCATAGTTGCCCTCTGCTCTCTCCTTGGTTTTTCTGTGGCGCCTGAGGTCATCCCGCAAAAGGGGTGAAGAATTAGAAGAGTCTTTTCGCAGGGAACTGTTTTTCAAGCTGCCCTAAACATAGCAAGCCAACCTACAACACCCGCAAAAGCATAGTAAAATTACAGAAAAGCAAATCGGAGGTCCCTCTGCTCCCCCTCGCAAGTTGCTCAGGCATCGAGCTGACAATTGGGTGGTTGCCCCGGCATAGTGGTGAATTCCCTTTCTTATGGCTAGTTTGAGGGTCCAGGCCCTGGTTTTCCAACAACAAAACATCCAACTGAGGGTTTCCTTTTGCGGCAGCAATTGGCTTCATTTCATTTCTCATTCCCTATCGCACCAGCAAGAACAACAAGGCGGTTGGAACATAGCATTGGTGGGAGGGTACCTTGGGTGTGGGTCAAACATAGGCACCCAGAAGACCCTGGTAAATGGAAACAAGGACTAAAACCTGCGGTCCCCTGATGGTTTGATTCTGACCCGTAGCCACCTGCAAAAAAAAGTTGCCTCTTCAACGAACCAGCGAAACCGTCTTGCAATCGATTTTGGCGGGTGCCACCGGGGCAGGAGCCTGCCGACGACGCCCGCCAGGTCCCGCGCGCCGCGGATGAGATTGTACTTGATACCTTCGAAGAGCCCTCCCTTCTGGAGCTTTTTGATTTCTTCCGGGGAAGGGGTGGTCCAAGTGGGGGGGTTCCCCTAAGGCTTGCTAAGGAACCCTAAGGGAACCCTAGAAGACCCTCAAGAACCAACTTGTTGGCAAAAATCCTCCGAACTGTGCTTGTTGTTTCGTTGATCGTGCGAGGTGGGAAAAGTCCCTCTAAACGCAGAGCTAAAAGGGCATGGCTCAGAACTGCCACGTTGATAACTCACAAGACAATCAAGGTCTAGAACCTGGGGACGGTGATAGTTGTAACCCAGTGGGTCCAAGTACCTCATATTTGCGGATTTGAGGAATCTATGATTGACGAATCCGCTTGAACCAGACCCAAAACCGTAAATATGGGGTACGTAGGACCCTCGCGTAAGGAAATCAGGCTTACCTTCTATCCAGTACATTTGTCTTGGTTTCTATGGCACACTCAGTGGAAAGGTTCTTGCCAGCGGAAAGGTGAACGTGTTGCTCCCACAATCCGATAATAGAGATCGGTCCTGTGAACAGGGGAGTGTCAGCTCCAAAAGTGATGAACTCCCAGATATACTAGTCTGGGGGTCCCTTGATGATGGGGGAAAAAAACAGACCCACCAGCTCCGAAAAAATGGGTGCTTCAACTATCTTTCTGGATTCATTCACAGCTGTCCTTTTCTACAACCCATTTCGTTGGAACCGAAATTGAATTGCCGGGTGCTCCACGGAAAAAGCCCTGCTTAGAGCGTCGCACATTTTGTTCCTTTGCTGGACCTCAAAAAACAGTGGCAGTGTGATTCGATTTCACCAAGCAAGTCCAATTTGAAGAGTAAATCCAGTGGCCAGACAGAAACGCCTGATGGAAAACACACGCCTTTCACCTTGGTCAAAAGGCATCCAATAGTGTGTCCAATTTTTTGACGTACCCCCCCCATGTCTCTCTGCGACCGGACATCTTCCTGAACCCCTGGTGGATGCCTCCAATAAGCGTAAAGCACGAAACAATATGCACACAGCCGCACACAACAAGAAGAAGCGCACGG